TTGACTTCACATTCCGGATGTCTGGCTCTAGGTGAGTGATCACACCATCATGATTATCTGGGTCGTGAAGATCTTTTTTGTACAGTTCTTCTGTGTATTCTTGCCACCTCTTCTTAATATCTTCTGCTTCTGTTATGTCCGTACCATTTCTGTCCTTTATCAAACCCATCTTTGCATGAAATGTTCCCTTGGCATCTCTAATTTTCTTGAAGAGCTCTCCAGTCTTTCCCATTCTCTTGTTTTCCTCTATTTCTTTGCATTGATCACTGAGGAAGGCTTTCTTATCTCTCCTTGCTATTCTTTAGAACTCTGCATTCAAATGGGAATATCTATCCTTTTCTCCTTTGCTTTTCGCTTCTCTTCTTTTCACAGCTATTTGTAAGGCCTCCTCAGACAACCATTTTGCCTTTTTGCATTTCTTGGCTCCCAACTGTCTATGGATAGGAGTCCAGATTTTAAAACAAGACATACAAAGATCTATCTGCTCTTAACACATGTATAATTTTATCCCTGGCACACTAGGACCACCTATCTTATTGTAACCATCATCTATCTTTCTTCTACACCACCTAACACCTTCAGATGTCCTCCCAAAGTTTCACAAAGCCCTCATCTCATTGGTTTTTTGAGAAGAGAATACAAACCAAACGCCCAGTTCCCAGCTTCCCTTGCAGCTACAGTCCATGTTACCTGAGGTCACCTCAGCTTCCCCAGTCAGATGAATGCAAGCCAGATTCTGAATGTGAGGCCAGCAGCATGAAGGAGGATGCACAGCACTGAACTCATCCTGCTCAGGGTGGGGACAGCAACATCCAGACTCCAGGACCAGCACCCCAGTGCCCAGCACTGCGGCGTTAGTAGTGAAAGGCACTATGGCTGTGTCCAGCAAAGGGGTAAAGACACCTCCTGTGCTAAATACCAGACACTGCTCTAGTGCTGCGAACAGAGCAGAGGATAAGACAGAAAAGTTCTCCACCTTTATTGGGATTATATTTTTGAAGTAGCATCTGACTTGTATTTATCTTCAAGTGCCCCTCATAGTGTTGGACACGGACAAGGTACTCAGTTCATGCTTGTCTTTTATGTTTCAAGCCACTCCCCTGGTTTCAGTTCTGCCCTCTGGCTAAGACCTCCTGGTGCCCATGAACTCCATCCTGAAGGGTGTTGCCTCACCACCAGCACCACGGCTGTGGAAGTGGGGCAAATTCCACAATGGGCTCTGATCTTGTTGGCTTTTCACGAAATCCCTGGCATAACTATCATATTCCGTTTAAGTGACATGAAGCCGAAAGATGGCTCATTACATCTTCCTATTGTTTGACCTATAAGTCACTAAAGCTTTTTTTTTTTCCTTCCTCATGCCCCCATTAGCCTGAGTCATCCTAGGACTAGGAACACAGTAGGTGTTCAATGAATTTAGGTTGAACCGGACTGAGTTGTTAAATGTGTGTGTATATGTTCTCCCAAACAGAGCCTGTGAAGAGAATCACAGAGTCTAATTTTTGCAGGAAAAATTCAGAACAGCTTCTGATTAGTGAGTTTGTTCCATTTCCCAAGAAATCATTTTAACCTTTAAACACAGAAGGTCAGTCTCTCATCTCTCTGTTCATGCATAATTCCCCCTGCCCTCTGCTCTTGGTGCCTCAGCAACCCACCTGAGAGAGAGGCTGAGTCGGCGGGAAGGAGAATTAGGGCGCTCCGCGGCTTGGGTAGCCTCTCTGGGACCAGCTAGGCCATCAGCATACGTGGCCTTACTTGCTACATTTTTAATAAAATTGCAGGAAGTTTGGGAGAAAACTTTTTCCCCCACCTAGAAAATTAGCATTGATGCCACACGAGATGCAAATGTAGGAAGATGAACATCAATAAAACAGAAAATGTTCCCTTTGAATCTTCTTCTGGAGCTAGAGCCAATAGAGCACTTTGAAAGGGTGAAGGGACTGGGAGAGCTCAGGGTGAATAAATCAGGGTTCCTGGTTATCTGGGCACTGTGGGTGGCCCCACATTCAGGCCAGAGGGGGCAAGGGAGTCCAGTTCATCCCAAGTGTCTGTAGCATTAATCACAGATCCTGGATGGCAGCAATGGAAATGGTTGGTGGCAGGACGTCCTGCCATGGGTGATGGCTCACAAGAGCCCAGGAGATTCAGATTAACCAAAAAGAAGTCAAGGTCAGACAGGCTGGTTTGGTGATTTTCTGAAAACCCTGGACTGACCTGCAGGGCTGATGCTGCGGCTGGAGGAAGTCATGGGATCGTAAGTAGGCAGAGGTATCCAAGCAGGTCACACTAATTAGTGGGGATAATTAGTCATAGAACCAGGGATTTCAGTAGCTTTTTAGCAACTGTGTCAAACAGCTAACAGGCCAAGTGTTACCTCCTTGTAGAAGTCTTCCTTGCCCCTCATTTGAAACAGCACCCCATCATTCTATTTCCCATTGCTCAGTTTTCTCCTTTCCTCTCACCATCCTTTGCCAGCCTGTATCATATAACCTACTTATTTGTACTGCATATTGTGTATTGTGCATTACATTTTAATACCAGAATGTAAGCTGTATGAGGATGATGTCATCTTGTTCGCTGCTGTGTCCCCAGCTCCTGGATCAGTGCCTGGTATCCAATTAATATTTATTGAACTCATAAATATACCCTGAACTAAAACTCAGAAGTATTTTCACTTGAACTGCTCATTGACCAGGTTTCTCTCATCTGTATTTGTACAAGTGCTAGTTTTTAATTTCAAAAATGCGGCACTTTATCTTTTGGGCTTTGGTCCATTTATTCAGCCTTTCAAGTTTAGTAAGTCTTGATTCCAACACAGTGATGGGTCCCTCAACCTCATTTCAATGCCTCCAAAAGCCGAGCAACATGCCATTGTTCTTCCATCCAAGTTGACGTGCCAGTAGACACATCCCCTCAGCCTGGATCAATTGTTTTCACTATTTGCACCAGGAATCATTGAGATAGAGGCTCTCTGCACTGGAGAGGGCCTTTGGGATCAAGTGGTCAGAAGCTTTGATTTTATAGACTGGGGTTCCAGGACCACGTGGGGAAGTGAGTGACAAATGGACAGCCTCTCTATGACATCAGAAAGAGTGCACTGATAGGTTCATAAAGCCTCAGCCACCCAGGATTGAGAAGGGTGCTTCTCAATGCACTTCCATAGCAACAAGCTCCCAGGTTGGCCTTGGACTGGCACCTGAACTCTCCATCATCCACGGCAGACTGGTGGGATCCTTCCACAAAGCCTGTCTCTTCTTCATCTATTCCCATCTTGAGGGTGGTCCATGAGTGACAGCTGGAAGGACTCGGGAGCCAACCCAGGGCCCTGGCTTCTCCCCTCTTCACCCTGTCCTCCTTTCTCCCTCCTCCTGAGGTGGCAATGCTCTCCTTTTCTCTTCCTTTTCCACCCCATTATGGGTGATGTTTAAACTTTTTTTTTTTCTTTTTTTTGTTATCTCCCTGTGGGGCCTGAGCTCGGGGCAAACAGGGTCCCAAGAGCCCAGGAACAGCCCCCAGCCCACCTGGCACCCTCCCCCTCCCTGGACCAGCCCCAGGTGAGTGGGTGGGACTCAGGCCCGAGGGCGGGAGGAGAAGCCTGGGGCATCAGGAGTGAGGGTGTTGCTCAGACCCTGGCTGTCCACCCTCCAGCCCTAACCCCTGCACCTCTCTGGGCCACAGTGAGCACAGCTTGGAAATGGGCTTGACCTCAGCCCGTGGAGTATTCCAGGGCCCTGGCCTGGGGAGGCAGGCAGGACAGGCTCCCTGGTGACCCTTGGTGGCCTCCCCAACCCCCCACTATCTCCCATCCAAGGGGGGAGCCACCCTGACAGGGGACCCCCGGGGGCCAGGCTCTCTGCTCCTCTCCCCCAGGAATGTGATTCCACCCCCGAACTCCACCAAGTCCCAGGAGGCCAGACTCACTCATGATGGACTCGGGTTCTTGCATCCTCCTGCTGTTCTGCTGTGGGAGCTTGAGGCTCTGCTCCGATGTTTAAACTTGTTTAGATGGGGTACAGATGCTGAGAACACACTGATGGGCTACAGCCAACAGAAACTCAAAGACAAAAGAGAGGTTTCCTGGCACATCTGAGAGCACAAAATTCTTTGGCTTTCAGTGACTAGTGCAGCATTTAAAACAAAATGTCCTGAGACAGTCAACAATGTAAGAGTAGAGGGAAGAACTGCAGTATATATTTGTTGAATGAATGGGTAAATGAATTAATGAATGAATGACATCAGTATATGAAGTAATGGACATAGTAACAGAACCACTGGTGACAACCCACTCCAATATTCTTTCCTGGAACATCCCATGGACAGAGGAGCCTGGCAGGCTACAGTCCAAGGGGTCTCAAAGAATCTGACACAATTTAGTGACTTAGCACGATATGGTATGGCGACTTCTCAGACTTACCTTGGTCTAAGTGGGAAAATCACAAGGAATCAGAGCCAGTGCTCCCGGCCACTGCCCAGGAAAGGGCTGGCAAGACAAGTCCAACACTGGGGTTCAGTGAACCCTACAGAGGTCACTGTATGCGCACCTGAGGCCACATCCTTCTTTGGCCTCTATCCCTGCTCCATCCTTCTTGTCTCAGCCCTTGCCCCTGAGAGCCTCTCATCCATAAACCACTTTCTCAGGAATCCCCATTACAGGCTCTGCTTTGAGGAATGTAACCTAAGACACTGTATTTCTACAACACACAATGGAGTATTTTGAATTGAATCTGGCCCCTAACACCCCTTTAAATTCCTCCCACCTGAGCCCCCCCACCCCCCCGCCCCATCGCTGGTCCCCAGAACTTCCTGTCACCAGACTCTCACTTCAGCAGCCAGTTCAGGCTTATGGCTGTGGCATCAATGGTGCCCATCACAACACAAAGACACTCAGCAGTAAACTGTCTGCAGCCACAGTTTTAGACACAAGGTGAGCAGTTCAGCTTGCAAAGTTTCAGAGCTGCCAAAAGGTGTCTTCAGTTATAGGAACAGAACCCGCTGTCACAGTCATTAATTATTTATGGAACAGACTTGGGGAGGAGGCAGGGGCAGGTGGTGAGGCAGGCAATACAGAAATGGAGACAGAAAGATTTGCATGTGCTTATCTCAAAAACTCCCAGGTGGGCTCCTCCCAACCTTTCACCCAGGAAAGCCGTAACTCAGGCTGCCCTCTGCCACGGCCACCTCTCCTCCCTCCCTCCCTTCTGGGAGACTGAGGAGGAAGCAGGTGCTCTGGAGGAGACAGCTCTGATCTGCCCAGCCTGCTTAGATTTAGATTTGGAAGAACTTTAAATTACAGGCCCAAGCTGGCCACGCGGTATGGTCTGGAGGTGTCTTCTTGGTTTTGTGGCCTCTGCACAGAGACGCCCCAAGGCCACCGGAGAGGCTCCTGGCCAGCTCACCCTCTCCTCGGGGCTCCTTCAAGCATCCCCCACTCACCCACCTGTTTCCCACCTTCTTCCTCCTTCTCACAAGAGCTTGCCTCCGACTTCACAGGAAATGCAGAAGGCAGCAAAGTGTGAAGTATGGAACCTCTGGTTTCCACATACACACACAACACAGACAACACAAAACAACACATAACACACTTACACACACAATACATAATGCACACATAGCACCCACCACACTACACACACACACACACACACACACACGCCTGCTTCTCTACCCGCCCTTTCTTCCTTAGGTTAGAAGAGGCATCCTGCTCCTCACATACCCTCAATCCACTGCTTCCTCTTCTCCCCCAGACCTTCAACCCCTCTCACTCTGCAGCCCTTTCCCGTGAGCATTTACGGAGCTGCAGTTGCACTTCTTAAAAAAAAAACAAATGGGAAGAGTCATAAGCAACAGATTACCTCCCCTCCTACCTGCAGTGAAAATAGAAGCATCAGATGCGCGCCTCGCCTTCCCCCCACGTCTGCACACCTAGTGGGGGCCCCTGGGTGGCAGCCAGGCCCTCCCTCCGCAGGATCACCTGTGCTCCAGGCCCAACCCTTCCCGCCTTACCAGCCAAGACACAGTTCCCAGAGTTAAACCTTCTCCTGAATATGCAACTTCTTCATCGCCAGCTCCTCTCCCACCTGAAGCCCTGCTCTTCCCTGGGTTCCTTCCCTTCCCAGCTTCCAGTGTCTGGGTGACAAATGATAACTCCACACCCACGTCTCCAGCCCAGCTCGCCTGCCTGGTTGGCCACAGGTGTGACAAGTTCCTAGCGGACAAGAGCCTCGAACAAAGCATGTCTAAACTTCTCAGAGTTCACCTCCCCACCCCACCACCCCTTTTCTTGCTCCTTATCACTAATGTCTCATTTCAATAAAGCCAGTCAGTTGAACAAACCATTGTCCAAACCAGAGACCCGTACGTGGTCCTGGACCTTGGCCTTTAACCTCCTTCTCCCTTAACCGGTAATCTTTCATGACCTATCTCCATGGCCCCTAAGTCCATCTCCTTTCCCTGTTTCCTAATTGACCCCCTCCTATCACACCCTCTGACAATGGAAGAGCCTCTGACTTTCACATGGCCCACCTACCCTACCTACTGCAGCCATCACCCTAAGAAGCAGACTGGAGCTTGCCACTCTCCCTTTAAACCTTTTCCTGAATATATGCCCTCCTTCACAGATCTCTTCCCAGGAGAAACAGACTCAGAGAAGAGAAATTGAGCAGAATATAGCAAATCCAGGGGCAGGGAAATTATTGATTCATGCATTTGTTCGTTCATTAAATTATACCTTCAGAACCTGGACTTAGTCCTTCTGGGAGTCTCCAGGCTCAAGCATTTAGTTTTCTTGTTTATTTCCTTCATAGCACTTACCTCCATTTTGTTTTTAATTTACTATTTTTATACTTAAAAAAAAAAGACAAAACAACTATCTCCCCTTTAAGAATAAGTTCCTTACATAAAAGGTACTCTCAGTCTGTTTGATACAGTATCCACAGCCCCTAGTCCCAGGCAGGGCATACAGTAGTCACTTAATAAATATGTATGGGATAAATGATGGGATAAATGAATGACCACAATGACACATGGTAGTTTCTGTCTAGAGTCAGTTCCATCAACAGTAGTTTGAGAACCAAATTCCTATCACCTGTCACCAAGCCTTCACCAAGTACCTGCCACGTATAGGTGGAATGGGGTGGGCACCAGCAGCGCAGAGACAGAAAGTATGTTTTCCACACTCAAGTGCCTCTAAGGGAGGGATGAACTGGGTACAACAGGCTAACTGTCAACAATGCAGGACCAGGACTCACCATGCCCAGGTACTGGTCTCGCCTGGGGTGACGAACACAGACAGACACCAGTCTTAGAGCGGGGACGGTTCCAGGCTGAGGAGGTGGGCCCTAGGGACAGCTCCCATTCCTCTGCCTTCTGTTTACCCAGATTCCAGACACGCATTCCATGTGCTTGGTCCCCAGCATTCTGGTCCCGTGGGGCCAGAGCTAGAGAAGGGTGTGCACATTTATCAAGAGAGAAAGGAGAAGAACAGGAATGGGTCTAAAAAAAAGAAAAAGAAAAAAACAGAAAATGAGAAGGAAGGAAGGGAAGGGGAAAGGAAAGAAAAAAAGCCCAATCGACACCTCTCGTATCTCCTCCGCACTCCTGGCCCCAGGTCTCAGCTTGCTCGCTGGAACAATGCAGAGTCCTGCTTACAGCCTCCTTGAACCAACACACCCACCCCGGCTTCCAGGGAAATCCAAGCTCCAGCCAGGATCTGGAGTGAGCTTTTATGAACATTAAATCAGACTGTGCAGATGTGTCGCTCACTGCTTAAAATCCTCTGTGGCTTCCCTCATGTTGAAAATAAAATCCAAATTCCATGTTCAGCCATGGAAAGCCCTGTATGATTTGGTATCTCTCCCTGTAGACTGCGTCCAGCCACAAGAACCTGCTTTTTGCTGCACCTGAAAACACCAGGCTTATTGAAGCCACAAGACCTCTATCTAGCTGTTCTCTCCTCCAGAACTGCTCAGGCCACCGATCTCTAGCAAACTGGGTCCTTGATGACATTCACCTTAAATACCACCTCAGAGAACAGATGCTCCCTTGACTACCCCTCCCAAAGAAACGACAGGGTCCCCTCTCCATTATACATCTAGGGGTTATTCTTCTGCACAATCTTCGTTGTTTAGTCGCTAAGTTGTGTCCAACTCTTTGAGACCCCATGAAGTGCAGCACGCTAAGCTCCTCTGTCCTCCACTGTCTCCTGGAGTTTGCTCAAATTCAAGTTCATTGAGTTGGCGATGCCATCCAACAAACTCATCCTCTGTCACTCCCTTCTCCTTGTGCCTCAATCTTTCCTAGAGTTCCAATGAGTCAGACCTTCGCATCAGGTGGCCAAAGTATTGGAGCCTCAGCTTCAGCATCAGTCCTTCCAATGAATATTCAGGATTGATTTCCTTTAGGATTGACTGGTTTGATCTCCTTGCAGTCCAAAGGACTCTCAAGAGTCTTCTCCAACACCACAGTTCAAAAGCATCAATTCTTTGGCGGTCAGCTTTCTTTATGGTCCAACTTTCACATCCATACATGACTACTGGAAAAACCATAGCTTTGACTATACAGAGCAAAGATGTGTATACTGATGTGAAGAACTGACTCATTTGAAAAGACCCTAATGCTGGGAAAGGTTGAAGGCGGAAGGAGAAGAGGATGACAGAGGATGAAATGGTTGGATGGCATCACCCACCAACTTGATGGACATGAGTTTGAGTAAGCTCTGGGAGTTGATGATGGACAGGGAAGCCTGGTGTGCTACAGTCCATGGGGTTGCAAAGAGTCGGACACAACTAAGTGATTGAGCTGAACTGTCTATACGGGACTTTTGTCAGCAGAGTGATGTCTCTGCTTTTTAATATGCTATCTAGGTTTGTCATAGGAAAACATTTACCACTATTAGAATATTTTCCTGGACACATTTTTCTGTATTCCCCCATCTATTCATCTTCTACTGCTGCTTCTACTGATGCATGTTCGTCTTCTAAAAATTACCATAGTCTTAAAAGCTTAAATCATTCCCCGCCACCATGTATTAGCTCACAGCCCTGTAGGTGTAAAGTCAAGGCACAGACGGACTGAGTTCTCTGCCCAGGGTCTCCCAAGGCTAAAATAGAGGTGTCCGCCAGGCTGTGTTCTCACTGAGAGCTTGGGGTCCTTTTCCAGGCTTGTGTGGTTGTGTCAGGATTCAGGTCCTTCAGTTGTAGGCTTACAGGTTCCATTTCCTTGCTGGCCACAAGCCAAGCCCTGAGCTCCTGAAGGCTGCCCACATTCCTTGCCCTGGGCCCCTCCAACTTCAAAGCCAGAAACAGTCTTCCTCACATTGAAACCCCCTCATGCTACAAATCTCTCCCATCAGGAAAAGCCCAGTCCCCATGAAGGGCTCACTGACTGAGGCAAGTGACCATCAACTCTGTCCTGTAACATAACCTAGTCCAGGGAATGACAGCCCCATCACATTCATGGTCCATACCCACACTCCAGGGGAGAGTATTCCACAGGGCAGGAATACCAGGGCACAGGAATTTGGGAACTAACTTAGAATCTTGCCTACCCTGCCTCACTTGAGCAGGACCTTGCCTGCTTTATCTCTCCATGCTATGGCCTAGGACAGGTCTTCTAACCACACAGAGAACAATGAAGACAGTGAAAATACTGCACAGCACAATGTGGGAAAGCAACAGCATTGCTCAGAACTTAGAGGTACCCAGGGCCCAGGAGCCCTGACCAATCCTGGTCCTGTTCCTCCAGCCCACGGACAAGTAAATCAGAATCCCACACCCCTGAACCAAGTCACGGCCACCAATGTGCCACTATATGTAGTAGATGCTCATTAATTTGTTTTTCATTTACCAGTAGACTGAAAGGAAGAAGATTCTCTCTCCTGGATAGTGTTAGTCACTCTGTCATGTCCAACTCTTTGTGACCCCATGGACTGTAGCCGCCAGGCCCCTCTGTCCACGGGTTTCTCCAGGTCAGAATACTAGAGTGAGTAGCTGTTCCCTTTTCAGGGGGATCTTCCCGACCCAGGGATTGAACCCAGGTCTCTTATACTGCAGGCAGATTCTTAACCATTTGTGCCATCAGAGAAGCCCTCTTGGAAAGTAGAGATGCAAAGAACTGAAAGAACTGGGGTGGCGGGGAGCAAGGCAGAAGCCAGGAGCCAATCGAGTGTTTCCTACTTGGCCTGTTCCTTACCCAGCTCACCTCCAACCCCCCTCTCCCCCAGGATGCCTTCTCTGCCCCAGTCTGACATCCTGTGCACTGAGCACCTTCCTACTTCACTAGACCCTTTTTTGAGGGTTGTTGTTGACCCCTTCTCTCCTATTGTGGATACACAGCAGGTCAAGCCCTGCGTGCTGGTTGCAGTTCACCACAACTGTGTCTCAGGTCCTGTCTCCCCTTCACTCTCCTTGAGGAAGGTGGCTGTCTCACCCACCTTTGTTTCCACCCAGTGCAGAGGGAGCATGTTTAGGCTGTGCAGACCCCTGGGACCACCTTCAGGTCAGTTCAGTTGCTCAGTTGTGTCCAACTCTGTGACCCCATGAACTACAGCACACCAGGCTTCCCTGTTCATCACCAACTCCTGGAGCTTACTCAAACTCATGTTCATTGAGTTGGTGATGCCATCCAACGATCTCATCCTCTGTTGTCCCCTTCTCCTCCTGCCTTCAATCTTTCCCAGCATCAGGGTCTTTTCCAATGAGTCAGTTCTTCGAATCAGGTGGCCAAAGGATTGGAGTTTCAGCTTCAGAATCAGTCCTTCCAGTGAATATTCAGGACTGATCTCCTTTAGGATGGACTGGTTGGATCTCCTTGCAGTCCAAGGGACTCTCAAGAGTCTTCTCCAACACCGTAGTTCAAAAGCATCAGTTCTTTGGCACTCAGCTTTCTTTATAATCCAGCTCTCACATTGATACACGACTACTGGAAAAACCATAGCTTTGAGACATGCTGCAAATAGGAAATAGGAGATGGCCTGGGGAGGGGCAGTTGTAGGGTGAAGCATGCTGCGTGCGGGGGTGGGGGAGATCAGGCCCCAGGAACACAGTGGGAGGTCCTGGCACCTGTGAAAAGGTAACAGAGGTCAGGGTGAACACAGAAAAGGAGAGGAAGGAATGCAATCAGACCGAGAGAGCTGGTCATCATCAGATTGGTGTGAGGACCCACATCCAACCAGTGGCCATCTCTGCAGATACGGGCTACTTATTTCCACCAGAAGAGCCACAGGCACTGAGAATCATCTGCATTCTCCTTTCTCCTTGCTTCCAGTAGTGGTCAGTTTTGGTGCAAGTAAAATGATACAGTGATGCCCGTATTGAACATGATATGCATGTGTGCATGCTGTCACTTCAGTCATGTCCAACTCTTTGTGACCCTGTGGACAGTAGCCCACAAGACTCTCCTTTCCATGGGGATTCTCCAGGCAAGAATGCTGGAGTAGGTTGCCATGCCCTCCTCCAGGGGATCTTCCTGACTCAGAGATCGAACCCGTGTACCCTGCAGGCAGATTCTTTACTGCTGAGCTACTGGGGAAGCCCAGGTGTGATATATTTTGCCCTTAACATCCAAGGGAGTAGAGAAAAATGATCTGGTACACTAGTAGGCTGAAAGGTGACTATAAACCCTTTAGTGAGACCATCACCAGCGTGCAAGCCCCACTGGGGTACGTGAACAAGAAGGTAACATCCGTGTCACAAGTTCAAGAAAGACTCATTGGAAGTAAGATGGGTCAGAACTTACTAGACTCCAAGTCCTCATTCTGGGCCCTTCTCCAGGGAGCCTGGCACTTAGCAAGGGATCAGAGGGCAGCCTCAGAGGTGATAAGAAGACCGGGCAGCAGGGCCTGGGAGGAAAAGAAGCTGGGATTATTCACTGGGGGAAGACAGGCAGGCGGGATTTAATACAATCTTCAGGTATCAGAAGAGTTCTTAGGCAGTGCAGGCTGAGTCTTGGCAGTGGCTACTGAGGATAGAATAAGGAGAGAAACTTAATCCCCAGCATAAGGGATTTAGGATAGCTAAGGGGAAGAATTTCCTGATGGTGAAGGTTGTTAAAAGTTGCAATGAATGGTCTGGGGAGAGACTGGGGCCTGCTCTGGAAGCTTTTACAAGTAGAAGAGATTATCCTCTGGCAGGGCAGCTTATCTCTAATCCTGCCTGAAGGCAGGGGAATGGACGCAATGACCTCAGGGTCTCCTTCAGACTTGGAAAGCAGGCCTTCCCATCATCGGGCCAGCCAACACTGCTGAGCAGGAGATGTGCTTTAAGGGAGGCCCAGAGTGTTCCCTGAAATAAGAAGAAGCCATGTGAGATCGCCTTCCCTTTCTCTATTTTTCAGCCACGGCTGCCTCATGGCAATGGCCAGGTCCCTCTATAATCTCGGGTCTAATCAAGGGTTAGACAAGAAAGCCAAGGGCAGCCACAGACCACACGGAGACAGATGACTCTCTACTCGACAGAGCACCCCAGACAGTAGAGCCTTGCTGTGGTCTTCATGGAGCGCTCTGCATTTAAAAAGCCATCTGAAGGGATTTTCCTGGCAGTCCAGTGATTAAGATTTTGCCTTCTAATGCAGGGGTGGGGGGGGGGGGGGGGGGTTGATCCCTGATCGGGGAGCTAAGATCCCGCATGTCTTATGGCCAAAAAACCAAAACATAAAAGAGAAGCAATATTGTAACAAATTCAGGAAAGATTTTTAAAATGGTCCGCATCAAAAAAAAAAAAAGTCATGTGAAAAACTTACTGGTTCCCAGGCAGTCGCAACAGGGCATTCTCAGCTTGCTGCTACCAGACGAAAGACAGAAAAGGGCTGCACTAGCTCCGGCTTTCCTAAACCACACTTTCACTTCCTGCCTGTAAATTGACAAGCCTTCTGAGAACAATAGCCTCTGCCCAGCTGTTCACCTTGGGGGCCAGGGAAGAAGAGCACAAGACCTTGGGTGCACGGGGCCTCCACACAGGTTGAGAACAATGACAGCAACACAGAGCACAAGCCAAAACAGCCTCAGAAGCCTTCTGTGCTTGGGGACATCTCAAAGAAAGGGCAAGACTTGGGCAGAGAGGAGAACCCCGACAGCTCCTGAAGTTGTTTTCCAAAGTGCCGCGCAAATACCTGAACAACACTCAGGGCCGTAGTTGATTCAATGTTTGCTGAAACCCAGAAAGCCAAAGACAAGATGACCTTTGGCTTTCTACAAGCTGGGGGGGGGGGGTCTAACTCTGCCCAGTAGTCAGATAAATTTGGAAGTGGATATATATTTTATTTTCAGTTCTATTTCCCCAGTGAAGAAAGAATTATTTAGCCCTTAACCCTATACCTTCGCAGAACTGGATTCTTCATTCTTGCTCTTTCCTTCTCACAACTTAGCTGATGTCATTCCCGGGCTTTTTCTTTGGCCTCCATATCTCTGATCCAACTCTTTTACAGGATTTACACCAGGCCCCTCTCTGCTTTCCATCCCTCAACACTTGATAATCCCACCTATCCATCCCCTCCCACACACACAGAGCTCTGGGGCCAGTGTCTGCCCTTCAAGGACACTTTTCCTTCTGGAGGAGTAAACACCAGCCTCCCAGGCACTTGTACCCAGACTGTATCACCTTCGGTTAGCACAGGTACGGGACTGGAACAAATGGTCCAGTATACTTAGGAGAAATAACCATGCAAATGTATTATTCTGCCCATTGCACATGCCAGACACAGGCAGGAACTGGTTGCAAAAAGCACATTAAGCATGCAATCAGCTGCATCCTCATGCCCAAATAAAGCTATTTTCATTTCATAAAGCAAGAGAGCAAGTCAAGTCATTAGGGAAATAGAAATGGGGAGCTTAAACGCCTAATTGGAAGCTCTATTGCATTTGCAAAGTACCTTTGGTTTTTCTAAAAATTTAAGGGAAACACATTGAGCTTAGAATTGCAGATAGATCAATGCCACATCCATCCTTGCACTAGCACAGAAGGAACATCCCTTCCTGTGGGCTCATCCCCACCCCAGTCGCACTGTGTAAATAGCAGTGAGGACCCAGAAGGAAGCAAGGGGCTCCTAAAAGCAGGAAAAAATGAAGGGACAGTGAAAGTCATTTTCCTGTCCATGGAGGGCATAATCGCATGACCACAGTGCCTCTCTGGCTGCTTTAGTTTAACTCTTCCATCTCTCAGCTAGAATTTTAGTGAATCTGATGTATTTCCTGGACATTTCCTATGTGCCTGGTGGAAACTGCAACTTCTCTGGAACTTCAGGCACCTTTTCTGTCAACATGCTTGGTGATTTAGTCCTGGAATTCCACAGAAGTGCCTGGAAGCCAAGGAGGGGAGGGCTCCATGTGGGAGATGTACAGACAAGAATTCTACTCCCTCACATCCATGCCCACTTGTATCTGCTTAATATTTGGGGGTTCCATAGAGGATATTAGGTTGGCCAAAAAGTTCACTCAGGATCATTCATAAGCTAAACTGAATGAACTTTTTGGCCAACCCAATAACATTTGGTGAGGTTAGGGGAGCAGGGTTTCTGTTCCTCAAATACACACACACACACACAATCCACAATTGAGAGATTCAAGATCCCAATCTCACCATGCAGATAAGGGAAGTCCTCACTGACCAGATGGGTAGGTAAGTTATAGAATTTAGTGGCTCGTGGATTCTCCAGAGCATGTATTCCAGGAGCTCAGAGCATGAGAAAACAAGGATCGTGTTTCCTGGGAAGGTCAGGCTTGCTCTGTTGGATGATCTTGCCCATGTGGCTCCTACATTACACTTTTTCACAGAGAATTCATCTAAACCCATCTTTTGCCAACTCATCTAAATCATGTCTAAACTATGTCTCTTACAAGGTGGAGAAACCAGGACATTAAGATTAACCCAGATGCTCATTTGGTCCTGGAGTCTTCTTATAGATAAGGTCTTTTTGTCCAGGAAGTCTCTGGCTCAGAAGGATTGAGGGTGTTTATCAACACAGAGCTCTTCAATCAAGAGAAGCATGCAGGATCCACAGAAACATGTGAGGAATAGTCTTCTCAAGCCAACACCACCATGTTTCTGAAAATTCCCATAGAGCCCTGAACCGCAAAGGAATATACTCTAATGGTTGACTATTAGGCACTCTGAATGCACATCAGAGTTCAGAAGGCACAGTTCAGTTCAGTTGCTCAGTCATGTCCGACTCTTTGCGACCCCATGGACTGCCATGCCCTGCCTCCCTGGCCATCACCAACTCCCGGAACCTACTCAAACTCATGTCCATTGCGTCAGTGACGCCATCCAATCATCTCATACTCTGTCACCCGCTTCTCCTCCCGCCTTCAATCTTTCCCAGCATCAGGGTTTTTTCAAATGAGTCAGTTTCTTCACATCAGGTGGCCAAAGGATTGGAGTTTCAGCTTCAGCATCAGTGCTTCCAATGAATATTCAGGACTGATTTCCTTTAGGATTGACTGGTTGGATCTCCTTGCAGTCCAAGGGACTCTCAAGAGTCTTCTCCCCTCTGGGACAACTAACTGCCATGTTCCTTCAAGGGGCCAGCCCTGCAAACACATAAGGATTCAGTCCTTGATGTTTTCTTCTGATCCCTAAAATAGGCTCACACTGCAGTCTGATGGGCACTTCTCCACCCATGGAATGTCTGCTTGACACACACACGACATGACAAGTGTTATTAGATTAGGTCATTACCTGCATTGGAAATGAAACCACAGGCATGTAACAGAGGACCTGCATCCAGGTATACCCAATCTTTCTGCGACATCACCAAGTGGGGCACCCACTTCTGTCCTTCAGCACTGAGTTCACTGGGAGCCTCACAGAATATGAAACTCAACTGCTTTCCCAACTGAAGAAGCAGTTGGATTTTCATGGGCAGCGGGGACCATAACTACCAAACCTCTATGTTCTTCCCAGATTCTAACCCCAAAGAGAGACAGAATGTCCCTGGAGAAATGGAAGGATGTGGAAAGAGAAAGAGGAGAGAAGTGGAAATTGCAGAGAGTGATAAATGGCCAGTCTGCATTGCTGAACTAGTTATTACTGAGTTGTTTGCCATTTGGCCCCATGTATTTTTAAAGCATATAGTTAAGGAGCATTTATTAAAATGTTTTCAAGTTGTCCTTCTAAAGAAGAGACCCTGACAGGCCACTCAGTATATTGCAAAGGTGGGTTAAATACTATTATCCGTGCTGCAGAGATAGGAAGACAACAGTATAATGGATTACCTTAATTTCCCAGAGACACGCGGTGCATTCATTACTGGCAGGGGGAAAAAAAAAGAAAAAGACAATCAGATTAAAGAATCTTGAAACCTGGGCCGCCTTGCCAAGAAAGCCAACTGGTTTGAGGAAAGGAGAGGCGAGCCCCACACCTCCAAGGGAGCTGCTCCAAAAAACACAGTCCTTAGAAACCCAGACACCTTCACCTTCCGGAGCTCTGAATTAAAATGCGCAACAGAAACAAATTCGCCACGCACAGAACCGCCAGGGCTCACCAATCTGCCGTGTGAGGCAGATTGGGAGAGGAGGAAAAAATAATCCAGATCCTAATTTAGTTTGGGAGCTTGTTTTCTTACACCGACAAATCCTTCTAAAGATGATTTCCTGATTAGAGTCAAACGTTGGAGGCCCAAGCTCTCGGAGATTGTTGTGTCGTCAGCATGCTAATGTGTTTCTTAGCAACTCTCTCCCTCCACTTTTAGGAAGAAACAACACCTCTGCCAGTAACTCAAAGCGGGAGAAGACTCAGCACCTCTGATGATTCACAGCTGGGGAGGGAGGCCCAGATACCTGAGGTCTATGCGAGGGTGGGACTCTGGTCGGTAGCCAGACTCAGACAGCAAATGCCAACGCAGGTGCCAGGCTGTGCGGGGAAACTGCGAAAGGCGAGAAGAGGGGACCGCTGCATCTCTGTGTCTCTATGTACTTGCAGCCATCAACTGCCATCTCATAACTTGAAATGTGAATCCCAGTGCTTCTACAGAGCTGATATCTTTCTCTCACCAGACTTAAAGATGCAGAAAGCCCCTAAGGAGAAGTCAAGTCAGTGAAGGTTAAGGAATAGGGTTTTCTGAACTGATTTTATCTTAAACTTTGGAATTTTCAGGATCAGCTTGGAAAGAACTGAAGATCAAAACTTTATTTATCCATTGATTAAGTATTTATTATCCGTTCACAGTATGCCAGCTCTTGTTCTCTGTGATTTCAGATCAGTTCTTTTGGCAATGAGCGCTATCAATGAACCCTGAAGCGAGAAGGGACCATCAACTCCAACAATCTCATTTTCCAGATGAGAAAACTGAGACCTCGTGAGGTTCTCCTCCCTGACATATGAGTAATTTATTGACAAAGCTAGAGCATAAATACAAGTATTCCCATCATGACTACTAATTCTCAGACCAGATGCTTCAAAACTGGACTTGGATAGTCTCTGCCTGAGAAGGGGAGATGTGATATTCAATTTGCCAATATTCACAACCTTGGAGGAAGTGATATTCATCGTAAGCCAAAACATATTGGTAAATTCTCTAATTTAGTCAGATGATGTCTCACTTTACATGATAAATGTTTCTAAAAAGTTGCATGCAAATCAAATTTTTGTAAATTGAATTACTTCTTTAAAAGCACAAGACAGATTGCTTTGTAAAGGAACCCTGGGCTGAAAATGAGAAATATTTCTGCAATTTAAATAATAACTACCTCCATAATTTATCTCTTCTGTAATTCATAATTTAATATTTCTTGGTTTTGTTTAGCATCACTTGCTTAAAACAAGAAAGATCTATATTTATGCAGCAACTGTCACCAAGAAGTTTGAAGCACATTAATAATAACCAGTACTCAATACTTTCCTTCTACATACTCTGAAGAACTAATAAGGATTTGGTATTCCCATTTGGCAGATGGGAAAGAAGTCAAGTTACGCAGTAAGGACAGATCTAAGATCACGGAGAAAGTCAATTAGGTGGACAGGATGCCTGCATGTTCTTGGTTACAAATCCTGCGTTTTTGTCTCCTGGGTTAGGACACTGTAGACACTATTGTATTTAAGTTCTCCAGAGAAATAGACCCAATAGGATACATGTGGATCTATAAGAGGAGTTTTACGGGAATTGGCTCATGTGATTGTGGAAACTGAGATATGCCGTAATGTGCTGTCTGCACACTGGAGAACCAAGAAACCCAGTGAAATAATTCAAGTTCAATGGCTGGAAAAAAGGGGGAGGGGGCAAAGGAAATGGAAGAGGGGAGATGGGTGTAACCCCCAGAATCTCAAGGCCAGAGAACCAGGAGCTCTGATATGCGAAAGTAAGAGAAGACAGATGTCCCAGCTGAAGATGAAACAGCAAAATGCCCATGTTCCACTTTTTTCCCCATTCACACCCCCAGTGCACTGAATGGATGCAATAGTAAGGGAGAGTCTTCTTCACTCAGTCAACTGATTCAAACACTAATCTCTTATGCAAATATCCTCACAGATAGACTCAAAAATAACATTTCACTAGTTATCTGGGCAATCCCTTAGCCCAGTAAGTTGAAAGATTAACCATCACAACTACTGTCTCCCAGGGAGACATTCTCCCAAGAAATTCATGAAGCATCTCAAAGATATATATTCTAGGAATCCAGGAGAGCCTCCTACCTTTCTCTCTACCCAATCACTCAACTCACCCGGGAAAACATGGAGACCAAAAAAAAGTCTCAATCAATTCATAACAATGTGTCTTACTGATTCCCCATCACAATGCATCCCTCTGACTCTTCAAAAGAAAACTGGAGAATGTACAGGCTCTGCCCCCAAGAACACTCAGTCCACTGAAAGAGGCAAAACTCACACACAAAACTACATTCTAGTCTAAATGCACACGGGTCTCCTCCACTAAATGACAGAGCCTAAAGGAGAGGACCATCTTCATCTTTGCCTTGTTAGCACCTTGCCTTGGAAAATGTCAGTACCCAGTTGAAGTTTTCATCATATTCACTTATGAAAATGCAGATAGATTGGGAAGGATGTTATCTGCAAATATCGGGAGAGACAATATAGACAATAGAAAAACAAACAATATGTTTATTGTTTGTATCCCCAGAATGACATCACCTCTTCCGTGGGAAGAATAATAATAATGCCAGCCTCAGAGAGTGGTGGTGGCACTTGAGTGGCAAAATATATCCAAAGCATTTAGCAAGTCTCTGGCAAGCACTGAGCACTTAATAAGCACTCCCTATCATTTATATTGTAAGGATCTCAGATGGTGGTGACAAAGGAATGGATGACAGATTGATGCAGGGAAGAATTTTCCTATAGTATCAAGGGTTGCTCACTCGTGGAAGCTGCTACATGGGTGAAGCTCCCTCTCCAAAAGGCTGGACAGTCATCTCTCAATGATGTCAAGAAAAGTCCTGCACTAGATAAAAGCTGGCTGAAGGCACTGGTTCAATAACCTGGCTGGGAATTAGAACAATGTAGGCAGATTGCCAGGAGATATAGCAATAACCTCAGATATGCAGATGACACCACCCTTATGGCAGAAAGCGAAGAAGAACTAAAGAGCCTCTTGATGAAAATGAAGGAGGAGAGTGAAAAAGTTGGCTTAAAACTCAACATTCAGGAAACTAAGATCATGACATCTGATCCTGTCATTTCATGGCAAATAGATGGAGAAACAATGGAAATAGTGACAGACTTTATTTTGGGGGGCTCCAAAATCACTGCAGATGGTGACTGAAACCATGAAATTAAAAGACACTTGCTCCTTGGAAGAAAAGTTATGACCAACCTAGACAACATATTAAAAAGCAGAGACATTACTTTGCCAACAAAGTCCGTCTAGTCAAGGCTATGGTTTTTCCAGTAGTCAAGCATGGATGTGAGAGTTGGACTATAAAGAGAGCTGAGCACTGAAGAATTGATGCTTTTGAACTGTGGTTTTGGAGAAGACTCTTGAGAATCCCTTGCACTGCAAGGAGATCAAACCAGTCAATCCTGAAGGAGATCAGTCCTGTATATTCATTGGAAGGACAGATGCTAAAGCTGAAACTCGAATCCTTTGGCCACTTGATGAAAAGAACTGACTCATTGGGAAAGACCCTCATGCTGAGAAAAATTGAAGGCAGGAGGAGAAGGGGACAACAGAGGATGAGATGGGTGGATGGCATCACCGACTCGATGGACATGAGTTTGAGCAAGCTTCAGGGATAGGTGGTGGACAGGGAAGCCGGGCATGCTGCAGTCCATGGGGTCACAAACAGTCTGACATTATTGAGCAACTGAACTGAATTGACTGAGACACTATTTTAAATACACACAGCTTTAGGCCCATCCAGACATCTTTAACAACTGTGGGAAGACCCAGGAATTTATATTTAAATAAGCATCCAAAGTGACTTTTAGGTAGTTCATCGAGCATGGATCGATTTATATAAGTTTTGAGAACCACCTGTAGAGAGGAAGTTTATGATCCCATCTGGATTCTGAGGCTCTAGGAGTTCTTTCATCCATCCTTGATCTTGATCAGAATAGTGTCAGGGAAAATCACACAGGTTGACAAAGTCAGGTTGGCTTAAAATCCCTGTTCTGCCATTTCCTAGCTGTATGACTTAACACATATTCATTATTCTCCCAAAGCCTCAATTTCTTGTCTATAAAATAAAGATGACTACTTTGCATGGATGTCCTAGGAGGGGTTTCTGGCACATAGTAAGTGCTTGACAAATTATTTATAAGAAAAGCACCTCTCATTGTACAAAAAAATAAAAAGGACATAATAAACACCAATTCCTCTTCTCACTAACATCCCAAAACTTACACATTATGTAGAGGAAATTGAGTTCACATAAACCAAGGAGACAACAAAAGGTGAAAAAGTGAGACTAGAACCATGCATAGATGGAGATGCCAGAAGAACAGGAAGAGAGCTTAGGAGATTCCAAAAGCCAAGTGGATTCTCAAAATCTGAAGTAAAGCAGGGAGAGAAAACACAATGCATTACATTTCAGTGGGGAAGTAAAGGAGAGTGAAAGTATCATAGATCTTTCTGGATTTTGTTGGGTGTTCTCAATCATTAAATCTGCATTTAGAAATATTTATATTTGCTGAAAACCAAGAGCCTTGGCGCAGAGGGAGAATGAAAAGAGCAAGGGACAGGGTCTAATTAATCATCAGGGGGCTGTCACATTGACAACTAGAAGAATTGGAAAGTTACAAAGTACCAGCACCAAACAGCATCAATCACCCAACGATGGTAAATAAATTAATCAAAA